AACTAAAAAGAGCAGCAAAGTTCTAGTGTTCCCCGGATATTGCTTAGATATAATAAAAAGGACAATTTTAAATAGCACAAGATATTGAAACCAAAGCTTTTGAGACTCTTGGATTTATCAGTAGTACCTTTTTCTTTGTTGAGTTGAACAGAGTCTGCACCACTGCTTGAGGCTGCTAATCTTGCAAGAGGAGGTAAGGTGTTCCCTTCCTCATCAAACACAACCCTTGTCCCTACTGGTCTGTGGACATTGATCTTTAGTTTCTTTTTCTTCGTAACTCTAGTGGCCAGCCTACAAAACAATTCAAATAACAGGAAACAAAATCAATCACAATGAAGATCATAATAAACATTAAAAAAATGTGAAGCAGCTAAAAAAATATAAGGGGCATAGCAAGAAGAGTATTATGGAGATGAAAAATCAGCATATATTTAAGGTTAGCAGGCCATTGCTTAATGAGAGATTTTCTAAAATTGCACTTCCACCAGGCAATGCAAGTAAGATTACCAACAAATCCATTCTGCTAAGCTAATGCCATCTTGCTTAAAAGAAAAAAGTTCTACACATCTAATAGACAAATCAGAAAAGTAGTTAACATACATATCATCTCCTTTGCTGTTAATATTTTCTCCGCCTTCTTGTGTCTCCTTAGCTAGAAGGATGTCTTCATCCACTTCCTCTACATCTGATTTACCTGCATCTGGATCCTTAATTGGAAATTCTGGCTCCTTAATTGGAAATTCCAACAAATTATCATTGCTTGTGTTCTCTGGTATGAGAGATAATGCTTCAGACACTGTCTTCCCTTTCAGTTTCTGTTTCAGAAATCGGATCTTTGGGGTCATAGGAAGACCCAATGAAGCAGAGAATTCATCAATAGGAAGTTTTGTAACATCAAAAATCTCTTTATCTCTCTGTTTGTGTATGGACTTCAAATATGTCACGAAAGCCCTTTGAGCCAGATGTTGTAGATCAGGGTACTTGACCAATAAAGAAGCAAGTAGATCCGAGACAGACTGTATTCTCTTTTCATTTGCCTGTTTCACACTTGATAATTAGACAACAAAACAACAAGATGCTTTGCAAAAGAGATAAATTATAATTTTATGTCCTCAACTTCAGTTGTTAAACAAAAGTGGATGAAATACTACCTTGATAACTCGAAGGGGGATCTTTTTCTCTTCCAACTTTTCAAGTATCTTCATTTCAGATGGCATCACGAATAAAACAGATCTTCCGCCTGAAAGGTAACGAGCAGTGCGGCCAACTCTGTGTATGTAAGCAGCACAATCTTCAGGACAGTCCACCTGAAAGGTGAGTTTGCATCATATACGTGTCAAACTTTCTAGTTTCTTTACAATAGCATCAACAACCTTCAACGGATGAAAAATCACTAGTTTCATTTCAGGCTTTGGACTCTAAAAACATTAAGAACTAACCTGGACAACCCAATCAACCGCCTTATTAAAATCAAGTCCCCTCGAAGCAACATCAGTGGAGAACAGAACAGAACGTTGTTCACAAAATTGGGAATAAATTCCCATCCTTCTATCTTGCTTCATCCTTCCATGAAGACACTTGAGGGGAATCCCAGGACGGAGTTTTTTGAAAGTTTCAAAAACAAATTTTACCTGTTGAATTGGGAACAGTAAAAAAATTTAAATCACCAGAAAATTAAGAGCAAAAGTTTTAGCTGTTGAATACTCTGAAACCCGATTCAATATAGCATATAGATAATTTTCCTTTTCGAAAACAGGTGATATAGCGAGGTCATTAGTGCTTGTTGATGTTAGGTACTAAAATCAACAGCGCTCTAAGATGAAGTGCAATATTCATGTCATCTTACGATAAGATGTTCAATGTCAAGTGTGAATTCTCAATTTCACAGAACCCCAAGAAGAAGTTCAGATACCTGCTTGCAGCTTGATAGGAAAACCAATATCCTTGAGTTAAGATGTGCCTTTATAAAACTCCACAACATGTCAAATTTCTTATCAAGAGGAACAAGCATTGCTGTTTGTTGTAAGCGGTTGGGAGTCGCAGTATCGGACTCCTCGTGTACACCCAAATATTCAGGGTCTTTCAGGCTGAGCCTTGCCAGATCTTGGACAGACTTGGTCTGGGTTGCTGAAAACAATAAGGTCTGCCTATGTTTAGGCAATTGTGAAATGATTGCATTTAGATCCCTCTTAAACCCCACATCAAGAATACGATCTGCTTCATCAAGAACTAAAACCTGTTCCCTGGCCAGAAAAGATGCACCCAAGTCAACAACTAAATAAACATGCATGATACTAATGCATAGGATGAAGACAGTTAGACAAGTATTTTCACAAAGAAAGGATGTTTCTTTGAAGAAACAATTGAAATAGAATAAATAATAAATAAAAGACAATAAGTTCGAAAATTGTAGTAGCATCAACAGACAACTGTTCAATAGCTATGCCTCCACTAAACGTAGCAGAGAAAAGGTAAATGAAGCAGGTTCCAAACCCCACCAAGGTAAAAAATGAGGGAGTCAATCTGTCCCTAGATGCTATACAATCATAATTAGTACGCTGTGATGAGTAAACTATAGCATTGTTTTCGTGGAAGGTAGTCTACACTAGCATTAATTAAGTAGGAGCAAATCAGAAACCAATTCTTGATGATACAGTATTTACTCCCTGCCTCTTATCAAGGACAAGACATGGTAAAAGAGCTTAGGAGAGGAAGGGGGAAAGAGTTGTTAACTGGACCTGAAGTTGTGAACAATCAAAATTTGGTGTCTCATCCATATGCTGAAGAAGCCGACCAGGAGTACAGACCAGGATGTTCAGTCCATTAACATGCTCTTTTTCAGCATCAACATCTTTGCGGCCACCAATCAGAAGGCCAGCACTAAAGCCATGATGTTTCCCAACAGATTTAAGTACTTCAAAAAGTTGACCTGCTAACTCCCTTGTGGGAGACATTATGATGCATCCAACACCGTCCTCTGGTCCCCATCGAGCTTTATACAATTTCTCTAGCACCTAGAAATGAAATTATTAAGATGGTAAAAAACCAAGAAATTACACTACTAAAGATAAGGGATTCAAGCGCCAAAAATTAACATGGAACTATGGAAGCAACATTTCACTTAACAAATTGAATAACGATGCGACAACCACATAAGAGATTGGACATCTACATTCTTTTGTAGAGAAAAAACAAGGGGATGATTAACATGAATAAGAGCTATCTTACAGACAGCTCATACCGTGTGAAGCCAAATTCATACTATATCCCAACTGAATGCCTGCACTACAAATATCACCAGCTATTTATCATAACAGGCCTCAACTATCAAAATGATGGTGCGATGATGAGATGTGTTTTGATAAACAGTTGTTTATAGTTCACCTAGCAAGCTTAATAGTTCAGCTATGAAACTCGAAAAAATGGATACTTTAGCTGTGTTTTCGATTTTTAACTCAAAACGTACCGGAATAACAAAAGCCAACGTCTTTCCAGAACCAGTTTTCGCCGCACCAAGAATATCACGACCGCAAAGAGAGTGTGGCAGAGAAGCTCTTTGAATATCGGTCATAGTTTTGTATTTGCACTGAGTTAACCCATCTTTAGTTTTCTTAGAAACCGGCAATTGACTGAACCTATCACAACCAGCATACCTAGAGAATGAACCATCAGGAAGACGTCCAACTGGAGCTTTATGTGGTAATGGCTCAAGCGACAACGGATTTGAACCGGATTCCGGTTTACCTGATTCTATCCATTCCTCCAGAAGCTCAATTTCATGAACCTCTGATAACCGGTTCTGTATTTTAACTTTCCGTGACTTAGGTGCATGCTTTCCCATACCTTTTGCAATTGCTTATTGATGGAAGTGTTTCGCCGGTGAGCAAAATGTGAACGGCGGCGAGAATTTAAGGAAGAACCGGTGATGATGACGGCGGCGGGGAGGGTTTTGGCAAGATTTAAGGTTCGGATTTGGGCCACTTAACGTATTATATGGGGCGGGTCAAACGGGTTAATTTATTAAACAGATCACAATTTAATTCACTTGATGATTATTGTTTTGGTAATTGGTTGCATTAATTTGTTACTCCATATGAGATTTTGGACTCTTTGATTTCTTTTTAGTTGTCATGTGAACTAAAAATATTTGTTCTTAATTGTAAATTTAAGCAATCTAGAGAAAACTAATTATTATTTTTTCAACTTTGCCCTTAGCATTAATTATTTTTAGAATTAAGACATATAAATATATAAAAATAAAAGAATTAAGAAGGAATATAGTTGTATTAGTTAAACTACACTCCTATTTAGTTTTTTCTTAAAAATTGTGCAATTTTTTATCGTGACAACTAAAAAAAACAAAAGAGTAATTTGAAGTAATTTTTCTTATGTTTTCCAACTCCAAACCGTAGTTAATTCCAACTTATTATTCCTCTAAGTAGGAGACATTTGATAAAATTATATTGTTCAATATCGAATGCATAAACTTGAAAGTTGGAAGTAAACTTGGTCAAGATAAGTATACATAATGTTATTACATCTCTTATACTGAACAATTGAATTGAAAATTTTGTTCTCTTAAAAGTATCTCTTATCTAGTCAAGTTCGACTTCTCATAATTGCAAGCTATTTCGATGTTTATTAAGGCCTAAAAGAAGAAACTTGAAACAAGTGATTTTAAGTGCATGTAATGTTACATAAAACTTGCATTGTTTGACATGAAACACTCATAAGATATGTATCTTTTTGCCTACAAAACTTCACGTTTAGGAGTAAACCTTTGAGTTTAGGTATAAATAAGATTGCGAACACAAACATTCTTTATAGACACTACTTATGAGATTAGACGAAGTATGTTATGTTGTTCTATATTTGCCAAGGGCAAAACCGGAAACAACAAATATCAATGAGCCAATAGTAGATTTATCATAACTACGAAGGGCATCTAAGCAACAAACCGATAGCAAATATATAGTTCCTTCGTCTTCCTTTTTATACGTTCGATTCAATTTCCTAATTTTTTTTCATCACATAATAATAATATCAGTAAATTTCTGCAAAAATCAACAATTTTTTCTTCAGATTTCTTTGCAATTTCAAGATACATACTATACAGGATTTATACAAATCAATATACATCTGATATTGTAGAGTTTTCAAGAGCCAGGAAGTGAGCTATGGGTTACAAAAAAGGAGGAAGATTCATGCCGGAAGAGGAGAACGGCGTCGGTGCTACACTGAGAGATGCTTTGTTATTTACTACTATGTGTATTATTGGGCTACCGGTTGATGTTTATATCAAAGATGGTGGTGTTTATTCGGGTATTTTTCACACTGCTTGCGTAGATGATGAATATGGTGAGTATTCTCGACACCCTTTTTGATTTTATCATGACCCTTTAGCTATATTGTGATTTTTGATTATGGGTAGTTGTTGTTGTGGGATTTTTGTTTGGAGCAGATCAGTTCCGGCATCCGATCTGGATGTTTCCATGATTTTGTTTTGATTTTTTTGTTTTGTTGTGTCCTGTTGTAGACCATTTTCATTTATTATTTGTTGGGGGTGAGGTGATTAGGTGGCATATGATACATTTCCAGCTTAATGAGGAGGACATGTCCTTAGATAAAGGCGATTTAAGCTTACTGATGACATGAGCTTAGATAAGAGGGTGTGGAGCAGTCAGATTAGGATAGTAGGTTAGTTGGTTAGCTGCAGTTTACGAGGACATGGCGTTAGATAGGAGGGTGTGAAGCACTTAGATTAGGTTAGTAGGTAGCAGTACCTTGTATTGTTGTCCATTCACATTACTAGTCATAATATTGCTCCTTTAGTTTCCTGTTGTTTGATGTTTGTTACCTATCTATTGATTCCTTGTACCTTGATTATCGTACTATTTTGTTGTAGTTTCTGTTCTGCTACTATGTGTTGTTTTATTATTATTTGTTAATTCTTGTACTTTTGTTACTTCTTTTTTCTGGATTGTTTTGGACTGTTTTTTCTTGAGCCGATGGTCTTATCGAAAATAGCCCCCTACCTCTGAGGTAGGATATGATTTGTGTACACTCTACCCTCCCCAGACCCTACTTCGTGGGACTGCAATGGGTATGTTGTTGTATTTTTCCGTATTTTCATTTCAAATGATGAATGTGAGTATATTCCAGTCTTTGATTCTGTACATTTTATGGCTTTTATAGAAAGGAATAGTGTGGAATGGTTATGTAGGGTTCATACAATTGATTTCAATAATTTAGGATTTAAGGGTTAGTTGCTTTGAGTTATTGATTGCGGTATTAACGGTTGCATTGATTAAGAGTTTAGCTTACCAAGTAAGGGACTTGCAAGAGTTCTGATTATCCTCTCTCTCTTTTGATACTTGGATTAGCTATTGTTTTGAAGAGGGCAAAGATGATTAAGAAGGGTAGTCGAGAGGCGAATGTAGAACGTGGAAGTTTGATAGAGACACTCATAATTCTGTCTGAAGATCTTGTCCAAGTTGTCGCAAAGGTATGCTTTTAGACATTCCAATTTGCAATGTCTATTTGTTGCCTATATGGTGGTCCTTTTTAAACTGCTGATATTTGTGCTTTGCAGGGGGTTATCCTATCTGCTGATAGTATTCAAGGACATTTAGATGGGGATAATGCAAGAACTGTTTGTAGCAATATAACTTATCCTGAATACACCAAAAAGGAGATGAAAGCAACAAAGTCCAAGGTGTCTACCGTGGATGGAGAGAAAGCTAGTAAAGAAAGGTTTGTGTTGGCAAGACTCACTATTGATTCATTGTTGGAAGTGCCTCATGATCTATTAGCTTTTGCCTGGAAAAGCTTCCTAATGTTCTGGCAGACATGACTTTGGCTTGTTCTTCATATTTGCAATTAAATTATTGAAAGCAAGTGATGAGTATATAGAGCAGATAAGTAATAATGTTAAAGTAATTTCTTAATCAGTTTGGTTAACTGTCTTTTGTTTCATAGATAGGCTGATAAGTTAAGTTGGAAAGCTTGTTCACCCAAATGTATTTGTTTGTCGCATCACTAGTCTTGTGATGATTTTATAGAGGGTGTTCTGGGAGGAGTGCACTGTGATAGGAAGATGCCAAATAAAGTGATAAGTAAGCTCTATATAATAGTGTTGATAAAAGCCTGCTTAAGGTGCACTTAAACCCTGAAACTCAGGGGACTTCAAGTGAGGCAGTTCACCTTATTTAAGTAGCATCTTAGTGCTGCATCATGCACACACAGTAACTATGGTCTCCATCTTTAAAAGAACGATGCTTCAAATAAATTTCGATAGTATTTATTGTTTGATAAATTTTTTGATGGATAAAAATATTATTGATTAAGAATGCTTGAGTAGAAAGTTAGTGAGAATTACTTAGTCACTAGTCTAAATGTGAAAGTTGTATTTGAGCCATTAACTTTATGTAATTTCTGAACTTGATTGATATGGTTTTCTCTTCATTAATTGCAAATTCACAATATTTGGTTCATATCATTGTTTTTCGTGTTTATAGTTTTTTTCTTGCTTTACTATATATTTTGATCTTCCTCTTCATTTGTGCATTTCTGCACTATAGCACGCACACTTTTCTATGGGTTTTGCTGTTGATAACATTGCTATGGGATGAATGTGAAACCAAAAATATTACGTAGGAGTGCATAATGTACCTACAAGATGAAATTTGTTAAAAAGCAGATGTTACAAGCTTGGAAAAGATTTAAAAGGAATTATCACATCTGATAAAGGGTACATGCACACGTAAATGAGAAAAGGAGAGATAATTACTTAGACAGTGAGATGGTAAAGCACGTAAAATCAGATTCATATTGAGAGGTTTTTTTCTGATGAACTAAATATATTATTAAACAAAAGGGCAAAACCTATACAGACATGTGCTTTTGTAGGACTTGCTCTCCATGATGTATACATACTTCCTGAAGGTTTTTCTTTCTCTTTTTAAAGAGGGGGTGTGATTTCTTTAGCAAAATTAGGTGTAAAGTCAAAATTGGAGTTCTCTGGCATAAATTATTTTTACCATCTTATTACTGCTGAATCAACACAATGCATCGCTAATATTTGCAGTATTGCTATCAGATGAACAGTAAATTTTGGGCAAGTCGCCTCAATATCTGATACCTGCTGGGTTTCTGCCCTTCCTCTCATGAGATTATTATCTCACTTCTCATAACCTTGATTTTTCTTATCTACATGGTCAACTGGGCACTAACTTATTTCCATTCATGTCAACTATGACAGATATGTGCGAAATAGCTTAATCAATAAGCAAAGTGATCGCAGAGAGAGCCATGAGTCTCTAAGGGAGAGAACTGTATGTTAATCCTAACATTGGCTGAGCACTAATTGAGATATAAAAAGATGTGATCTATTTGCTATTGATTAATGAACGTATATTTTGTTTTTTATTTTCATTTTGCAGATCCTTGAAGTTCAAGGCTCAAGCTCAAATGGTGAGTATTTGTTCAATCCTTCAGTTCTCACAGGAACATATCAATTCATGTGGACCTGTTGGTGGGTGGAAAACAGATTAGGCAGGCGTCTCTCATTGACTGAGTTATGAATCATATTCACCCAAATCTCTGATTTCCATCACTTATAATTCTGTATAACCAATTAAAAAATGCTATTAAAGAATTAGATCAATGGACAAAAGAGGGTTGTCCTTATGGAAGGGACACTCGTGTCACCTAGGGGGAAACCGGAAAAGTGGAAAAGGCACTGTTGCCCCCCACATATTACTTAAAAGAAAGAAAAGGAAAAAAAAATTGAATCAACTTTTGTGACTCTGTTCCTGCTGAGAATGGTGTCAATACTTAATGGTGAAGGGAAATCCTTACCTTAACATGCTATTTCCTTATTCTGCAATAGAACTCATAACAAATTAATGATTGCTTCTGGACAATGAGATCTTTGAGCTCTTTATGTAGTGTATATATTATCATAAACCAAAAGAATGTCAGTCAAGAATGGTATTACAATTTTTTCACTTGCAGTGGATGTTTCTGTTACTCAAGCTCAAGCAAATGCCCTCGAGAATGTTACCTTCATAAAAAACTTGGAGTTGTCATCAAATGGAATATCTCATGGTAGTCCTCCTCTTTCCTCAACCAAACTTGATGATCGGAATAATGATAGGCACAGTCATGAGCAGCAGACTCCAGGAAAAACTCCTTGTTTGGGCCCTACTTCCTCTGGTGCTCCAATCACCTCAGTCTCATGCGTCAGCTCATCATCAGCTCCAGCTGATTTGGTGCCTTCACGAGGTTCAATTCATAATGCTAGCACAAAGGTAAAGTGAACTTAGTGGGGTCCATTGTTGTCGGTGCATGATTCTTAGTTGTTCCATGTAATCAAGGTTATATGGTGATGTCAAAATTATCGTGGTACTTCGAGATTTTGGAAATTCTTCTCCTTGTTGATCCTATATTATTCATCATCTAAGAAGATTTATGACTGTAGATTTTCTTTCTCTCTAGGAATCTAAGCTCAACCCTGGGGCAAAGATATTTTCTCCATCAACTTTGCAGCATAGAACTGTTACACCTCCTGTGGTGCCAACGATGGCTTACGTGCCAGATTCCTGTCCTGTAGTACCTGTTGTTACAGCAGAGCCTGAAGTTGGAATTACCCCCTTTGCTCCTCATCCATCTGTGCCTGTTAAGTTTGTCTCATATAATAATTTGGCAGCTGGAAATGGTGGCTTGGATGTACAGTATGCTCAACCGGTATGTGATTACATTACTTATCTTTACTTTGAAAACGCAGCACCTGCTCCCTGCTTTACTTTTCTGACAATTGGAGTTGCTGTTTGCTCTGAGTAACTTGGATTTATTTACTGATTAAAAAATTGTTTGGGTTGATTGACCACCATATCTTTGTACCTTAACCAACCATTCATATTGACCACAAGAAGTTGTATCTTACTTACATAACCACAGCAGACCTCTGCTGGATGGTGTTTGGAGACTAGCATGTCGGTTTGTAATGGAGACTATAATGCAATTCTGTGCTTCATCTAATCTAATTATATCACTGATATACATTTAGGGAAGTTAATTGATATATATATGTCAATAAAAAGAAGAGGTAAAGAAAAGTTGTGGCCTAGTGGTTGAGAGTCATGAGGTCTCATGTTCAAATCCCAGCGGAGACAAAAACATTAGGTTATTCTACCCATCTGTCCTAGCCTTGGTAGACATAGTTACATGATGGTACTTGTTGCTTGTGGTAGGTGGTAGGTATCGTGTGGAATTAGTCGAGGGTGGCGAAAGCTGGCCCAAACACCACGGTCATACAAAAAAAAAAAAAGAGGAAGACAATGGTTTCCCAGAAAGCATATTATATTTTTCTGTTGTATGAAGAAACAATTTTGAAGGTAGAAGAAAGTAATTGGGATTCTTCTTCTTGGTATTATAATATGCAGTTTATCAAAGAGGTGCTGCTTTCTTAGTTAGCAATGACATTCACCAGATGCCCTTTCAAATTAGTTGCTACGGCTTAATATCAGACAAGTTAAACCAATCACCTCCATTATTCGATGTCATACTTATATAGAATCAGTTATTACTGTTTGATGCTGCTGCATAGTGTCTGAAGCTTTTCGTTGTTAACATGCAGACAATTGGATACATGGGAAGCAGGACTCAGCCGGCAAGGTATGGCAGTCAGTATCATCACCTTCAGGCTGCAACTGGTTATGTGCATCCAAATTCTCAAAATGTAAGGGAATTTTTTCTTGAGAAATTACCATGCGACTTTGTCTTTCTGATGCCGTTTATTTTGTTAGGCTGGAAAGAAAGCTCTGCCGCTGTAGTTGTAGAGTCATTGAGGTTTAGCATGTCGAGGACTGTGGCCCTATTACTAAATTGACGTCCTCAGGACAAAATCATGTCATCCTGTCATTATTTTTGTGCTTGTAAGATGGTTGCAGATGCTAATGCCACTTCTAAAATTCTTTATGTTTTCAGGTTATGGTTGGACGGTTGGGACCACTTGTTTATATGCATCCTGTTTCTCATGTAAGACGAATTGCTTTGTGTAGCTTATTTTGGGACAAAAATTTTCTGACGGTAGATGTTCATTTTCCAATATACTTGGATTGCCTTTTGTTACTTTCCTCTTATCTGATTTTCTTCGAGTATTATGTGTTTCAATTTCCTGATTCTTCTCTCTGATATCTTGTCAAAAGGATATTGTTCAGAGTGCTGCAGGGTTCCCTCAAGTATCCACACGTCCTCTATTAATTCCACATCAGGTCCATCCTCCTAAGCATCAAGGTACGCGTTCATGGCACATTTAATGGTATAACCAGAAATGGTCCAAACGTCTACTATGTCTTGAGTTCAAACCAATAGTTGCTAGTAGCCTCAGCTATTTATATTCAGGGTCCGGAATGCATAATGATCTATAGTCTGTTTTAGTATAAGAACTAGTTAAATGCTATTGCTGCTAATAATAGTAGCTGTAGCAAATAGTTATATCAAAAGTTCAAGCTTGCACACCAGGATCTAAGGATGAAGACTTTTAAAAGCTTTATCCCTGTACAAGGTAGATGACCAAAAGCTGTGGATGCAGCAGTGCTGATAGTAGCAGCAGATAGAACTGGTGGAAAGCTTTAGCAATTGTTGATACCTTAGCTGATCATTTTTTTTTTGTTTGACTATCAGGACTATAATATGTTTGTTGAGAATGAATTTGTGTCCTATTTTACATTAGCTTGCAATTTCAACTAGATGATGAACAACAATTTGTGGCTAACTACAACTTGCTGCCAACTTTATCACCTGAATGATGATGTGATGTGGATATTGGATTGTTAAAGCAGTTATTTACATATGATAGTACTGTAACAAGTTATCTGTATTTTACTAGCACAATAACTCTATCTGTATTTTTCTAGCACAATAACCTTAGTCCATCCCTTGCTGCAGGAAGTACAGCACCACAAGCACTGCAGTTGTATATGACTCCCCCAGTCATAACAGGGCTCCAACAACCATTCACTATACCAAGCATTCCTATTACACAGGCGTCTTTTCCTGTTATGCGGCCTATGCAATTCCCAGTACCTAATGGTTTTGTGCCTAACAAGTTTGTGTGAATATACTTCTGTAGTTGAAATGATGCTGCCTATTGAGATTCCTTTTTCGTTTCTTCTCAATCTCTGGCAGTGTGATTCTTTTCTAAGTTTTTGGTCTTGTAGTATGAGCAGGTTATTCTTTGTTAGGGAGAGGCATTAACATTGTATATTGAGTTACGCATGAAGTTGTTTTTGTTTGGAGGTAGAGGAAGAGTTCACTCGGGCGGGTCTTGTTTTGGTTGTGATATCCAAAGGAGATGGATTTTCCAGTTTTGAACTGCAGGAACACAAATTTTTGGGCGTCGAAAATTTGCACTTTTGTATGATACACTCGGCTTGAAATTAATAGGTTTGTTATAGCTCTTTAAGTTTGATGCGTTAAGCTAATGTGGATTTGGTTTATCAAAACCTGTCATATAAGCTTGATCTTCTGGATGTGAACTATTTATTGTAAGATTTTTTCCACATTTCATTTTCAGTGTCAAGTTATATTTTGGCCAAATCCATTTCTTGGATTCAATTGTATACTATTCTAAGATAGGTCCTAATCTTTTTTTATAAATACTGTTGTAATGTTATTGGTCTCCAAACTATGACATGTTGTTTGGTGAATATCGCAATTAAGTATATTCAAGATGAACCAAAAAAGGAAGTATCTGAGTAATCCTGTTAAAAACGAAGTTCATGCACATCAAGATATACTCAGTGTAATCCCACAAGTGTCTTGCAAGGGTACGCAAATCTTACCTTTACCTCCACGAGAAGACCCTTGGCTCGGGTGTAGTAAATTGTGCTGTTCAAAACCTGAATTTACAATATCAAAATTGGCCACCTGTGCACAAGTAGGCTCCAACCTTGACATTGCCAGTCACATGATATAACTAATTCATACGATTGCAAAGCAGATATGAGTACGGAAATTATAATCCACCATTATAAACAGTTTCCATAAACGTTTACGTCTATGCAAGATTCTAATCTGAACTGATAAACATATAAAGATAAGCTTTTCGAGGTTTGGCTAATGCCAACCAGGAGCTATTTCGGGACATTAGTATCACTATAGTCTGCCAGAGTCTATGGGATGTGAGTTTCGGAGATGAGAATATGCTGATGTTCCTGCTAAGCTACTGAACGCTAGTCTCCTCCTTACCGCCATCAGTTGTTGGAGTCTTCATTACACCAAGTCCTGATTCTCCAGTACGAAGCAGCTGGTTCTCCTTCAGATTTTCCTGCACAGCCTTCATGCAGGAAAAATTTCATGACTTAGATCTATATTGGCATAGTTAACTCTATTGCTCAAAATGAATATTGAAGTTTTGGTAAATTTACCTGTAGAAGTTCGGTCATCCTGCCAGTACCATAGTTCATCAGCGGCTTAGAAACAGATGTAGCCAAGGTATGAAGAGCGGGGATTGCTGATTCACTTGGTTCTGCTGAGGGAACCTGATTCACAGTATCTAGTTTTGGTATCACAGGTGAATGTTCAGCTGACAACTTGTTAAAGGCTTCATTGTTTCCAGTATCTTCTTTTTGTGACAGCCCAGATCCTTGAGACACGTTGGCCACTGCAACAGGTATTGCTACGTTGGTTGATACAGCTGGCTGCACCTCTTCCTCTTTCACAGCTTCTGCTCCCTTACTAAGATGGCCATCTTCTTTCTGCCCAGTACCTATTGCTACTTTGTTGCCAACTTGAGCTTGTGAAGCAAGTGTTTCACGAGTTGGTTCTGGTGGTAGCTGTCCAGGGGTTACTGGTCCGTCAGGTGGCAGCATAGCCAATGGCTTAACCATCTGAACATCTTTCTCCCTTGAAGACTCCCTGTTTGAAGCTTGGGATGCAGAACTCTGACTAGATGCTAGTCCATTTGTTAAATTGACAGGTTGTAGCACAACAGGAACTACTGTGCCTCTGGCACCCACTGGAGGGACTGAGGGATGCATTACTACCTGTTTGCTTTTTGAGGACCTAGATCCAAGCTTAACTGATCCATTGCGCTCAGCCCTAGGGCCGTACGCCTGAAGCTGGTTTACAGCCGGAGGACGAACCTCATTCCTTCTGATCATCTGAAGATGTGGGGCGACATCATTTGCAGCTGTGACAGGAATATAATGTCCTGGCTTAAAAACAACACCCCTGTAGTTCGTATTGGAGTCACCAATTCTAACATTGAGCAAATAACCAGCATCAAATGCAGACTCAACAACACCTGTAACAGCCTGACCTATCATCCCATTATTAACATCATTTCTGTTTACTTGTGGTGGTTGGATCTCTTGCACTAGTTCAAAAGGTGGAGGAACTTGAGCACGGACAACACGCTTTAAGCTAGGATCCTTACGAGGGCGACCCCTTCTTCGCTTCAAAGGAAGGATAGCAGGGGTGCTGGAGCTGTCCCCTTGAACAGGTTGGTTCATTTCTTCAAGCTTAGGTTCTGAAGTTTGCCTTTCACTAGTCTTCTGAGGTACCTGCCAGCAAATCAGTTTACCCATTTTAACTAAGCCAAGTTGCAGAGAGAATAAATGAAGAGGTGCATTTGATCATCCTACAAGAGTAAACTGGGTGTCACATACACAGTGTTCTCATTTTAGGACCAGTACTTTGTGGTCACTTTAGACCAGGAAAAAGAAAAAGGCAAGCAGCATTCAGTTCCAGGAGGACATAATTTGCAATACCTTGCAGAATTTGGGCCCAAAGTTGGAACTTGGAAGTGGACTGTAAAAAGTTGATGAACTCAATTGACAATTAATTGGTAGAGAGAGGACATGGAGTATAGGTTTTTGATAAGTAAGCATCTACAGATACTATAGAGGATATATTAACCTTGCCTAGATATCTACAAATAGCAAGAGAGAAAAGATGAAGAATAGTAGCTCTGTGATAAACATGGCCCTAGATAAGCCAAATGGATGCAGGTGAACTACCAAACTAGACACAGTTGATCAGGGTGGAAAGGAAAAGAGTGAGCAGAGCGAGGAGCCAAAAAAGAGACCAATACAATAGCATGACTAATCAACTAATAGCTCAGATCATTCATATTCTGTGAAAATGTGAAGTCCATTTTTCTAATATAATCAAATATCTCCCTCTATTCCATTTTATGTGACACTATTTTCTTCTTAATATGTTCCAAAGAAGAATGTTATCTTTCCATAAATGGGAACAATTTAATTTAGAAGTTCCCATTTACCTTTTAAAGATGTGATTTAATAGCCACAAAACTATCATGGCATGACTAAGGCTACAATTCCCAAAGCTATTTTTTTCCTTTCTTAAACTTAACTCCCAGTCAAATAAAAGCTCTAGAAGTTCCTGAAAGGTTTACTCATCTAAAAATAAGAAAATCAAATCTTAATCTGAGAAATACCCTAGGTAAGCTAGTATGCCAAATCATGCAATAATTACCTAGTCATATACCTTGGTCATGTGACAATTTACTTTGTCAATTTGCATCTTGCAATCATCTAGTGAGAGTTAAAATCCATATTCCAGTCAAACTTTACACGAATATATTCAAAAGAGTTGAACCAAATCCAAACAAAAATCTCATAAGCTTTTTACTGAATGTGAAACATGCAGTCATATAATACAAAAAAAATCCACAAATCGACACAAATGAAACAAATGATGTTATGTCTAACCACAAAAATAAGAAAAGAAGATCTTAATAGTTGAATACCTGATTTTCTGTTTTAAAAAAATATTAAAAAATTACAGAAGATGTTCGTTTAACATAACATATATACACACAAAAAAAAACAAGAACACAGAAATAAAACTAGGAAACTAAAAATCAACAGAGTATAACTGAAGCACAAATTTGAACTCAAATTCTCCGGAAAATTTCCCTAAAAGAAAGGAAAAAAACAGGAAAGAGAGAACCATACCTCCATTTGCTCGGAGAAGGCTTCAGAACTAAAGAAAAAACTAGTAAACTGGAACCCTATATTTTGTTGAGCAGATTTAGAGGATGAGTTTGAGATAATTAATTACAGTAATCTAATTCTTTGACTTAGCAGGGTGGGTGTGGTTTAGGGGGTATGGGGTATTGTATTTGACTGGTCTTGGCATTTAATGATTATTTTTGCATTTGGATTGCGAGCAGTCGATAGAATGACAAGGTTGTGATGCTTAGTTAGGCAACAAACAGAGTCGTATGTGGACATGTATCCATTAGACAAATGGGCCCATCGGTCATTTATCTACTTGGACTGCGGCCCCTAATTGTTTTCCTTGGGCCATAACAGAGTTTGTCTCGGGCCTGCAAAAAATTTCTCGGAAAAAATAGGCGCGATGGCTAGCTTCTGCGTCGGCAATCAAGTTTAGAGATCATTTTAAATGTAATTAAAAGTAGTTACTTCTAATTGAGCACGCAAAATAAAAGCTACTCCACCACAATCCAGGGTGTAATAGACGCATTGAGAGAAGAAACGTCCTCCATGGACAATGTGGATGAGATCATAAGGAAGTTCTCATAGGCTAAGAATGAGTCCCTCTTCATCTTGTAAGGGAGAGAAAATGCTGGTAGAACCATAATGAACCATCAACATGAAAAAGGGAATAAAAGAGTTTGCAATGTCGAGAATAAAACTTGTTATCTTTAGCTGAAGGTCCCTCCACTTGAGCTAATTTCCCGAGGAAGAGAATACAATAAAAAGTGATCAACAACTTTCACTATGCCCAAGCAATGCGCTTTGAAGGGCACTGCATCCATATCTCTTCGCTCTGCTCCCAAACGATCTTGGACAAAGATACTCCTAACTAAATATGGAACAACCCAGCACACAGTATTGGAGTTCAGAATTTTGACAAGTGAGTTAGAAAAGTTCTAGGAGTTTGAAACTCAATAAACGATTTTTGGAGTTTGAACTTGTAAAGGTTCAAACTCCATAATTTTTTCATGGAGTTTTTAAATATAGGTAATTAGGTACCATGAGTGAAACAATAATAATAATTTATACGAAAAAGGTTTGAATATACCCCTCTACTATGTTCTATTGTTTAAACCAGTCCCCCGTTATAGAGTTATACTATTTGGTTATATGGGACCTTACCATTAGGCAAAGTTCCATAACTACTGGACAAGTGGGCACGTGGAGGCTCAAAAGTGGAAGACCCAACCCAAATAAAATAAACCCGTCCCCACTAGATAACCCATAACCCGTAAACAACCACTCCCAATTGAACTCCTAAAACTTAAATGCCATTTAATTAGTCTCTCATTTTAGAAATTAGAAAGAGGACAAATACGGCTGCTGGAGTTCAAACTCCCTGTCCGTTATGTCCAACCTCACACAATAAAAGGCTTGAAGCTTAAAAAGGTAAGTATCTTCATCTAAATTTGTGATATTAATTGAGTTTAGCCATATTATTTCTCAATTAAAATGAGAGTAACTATTTCTATAGTTGAAACATCATCATTATGTACTGAAATTCAAACAAGTCTTGCTATAGAAATTACAACAGGGAACTTAAAAAGAAAATGAGTTGGATTTCACATTAAAAAGTAGTTTTGGAGTTTCACTTGTAAGAGAATTTCAAACTCCAACAAAGTATGATGGAGTTTCACTAGTAAGAACTTTGAACTCCATCACACTATACTTGAGTTTTTTCATATTTTAGGTATGAGTATTTTCGCCCAAATATTTTCTTACATTAACGATTGACTGAACACGGAATAATTTTGAGATCATGGCTAAAACCAGAGGCGGATCCAGGATTTGTAGGTGCCGGGTGCCATATTTTATGAACAATAGCGTGACATAGGAGAACTCTAATATCCCGCTTGGCCCCAAAAATGCTATTTTAAAAAAAAAAAAAGAAAAAAAAAAAGAGGTATTGACTATGCTTTTAGGAGAAAATAAGTGTTTTTGACAATTAACAAAAACTGGTTTTCAAAATCTAAAGAAAAAGATTTTCCTTGAAAAAGTACTTTTAATTTTTAAAAAATACACTTTTTTATTACCGAGAATTTGAACAAAAAAATGGATATGGTTGATAAAAATTAGAACCATTATCAATAGAAAATGAGAAACACTTTTAAAAAGTTTAGCCAAATACTAATGTGGTTCATAAGTGTTTTTAAATTTAATTAGTCAAGCACAAATTAACACTCATCAAAAGTATTTATTTTTAAAAACAATTTTGGAAAAGGAAAAAGAAAAAAGAAATTTCAAAATACTTTCATTTTAAAAGCTTCTTCAAACAAACTATAAAATCTTTATCATCAATTTTATAAATTGGCATACTTGGCTTGTCGGTTTGTTGGAACATTAGTAGTAAAGGACGTTTTGGGTTCGAATCTGGTCAACCTCATTTTTTTTGTCAAATAACAAAAAGGCACGTTAAATATTTGTAAGAAAAATGTAAGAGATCAGATTCGAACCGCTGATTCTGGGGACAAAAACTTGACGATGTGCCATTCGCACCACACAGTCATTTATTAATGGGGGTGGCATGTATTATATTTATACCAATTCTAATACATATATACATATAGAGAGAGAGTTTCAACCGAAATCACGGGTGGCGTGGCACCCCCACGCTACTACATAGATCCGCTCCAGGCTAAAACTTTGTTAACAGTCCAAAAGTGGCATATGCGAATTTCTCCTAATTTTCCCGCTATTCCTTTCATTTCCAAGACCCCCAAACATTAGGGTGAAGTGCAGAAATAGTCGTTTTAACTCTTAAGACTCCTATTTAAAGTTTAATCACTTTAAAATCAAATGCAGATATGTGGGACTCAAATTGAAAATTGCTAGCCTAAAGTTTCAAACTTCTGATCTTCAATTCTTAAGATGGAATTGTCAAAGCCTAACTTTAGACCCAAAGTCTGAGTGACAGTTCCAGCTTCAGATATTTGGCTCTAAAATCAAGCGGCTTGATAATCCCAATTTCAAACCTGTAGGCCAAAAGTTTTCAAGTAGAGTTGATTACTTGAAGTACTCTCTTGCGATTTAAGTCTTAGTTTGCAACTGCACAATCTGGAATTAGAGGGCATCCCCCTGAAGCTCTCTAATAACACCACGAGCCATTGATACAAGTGATACTTGTAGTGTCTTATTTTTTGTTTGGGTTTGGTTCAACTGAAAAAATTCTCATTTTTAGGCAAGTAGACACATCCAGAACTTTCTATTGCTAACCCTCTAAACAATCAAATAGCTCCCTCCATTCCATTTTATGCGATACTATTTCCTTCTTCAGCTGTTCCAAAGAAGAAAGACCGCCTTCTATATATGAAAACAATTTAACTAGTTAAACTTCCCATTTACCCTTTTAAGGACATGATTTTATAGCCACAAACTATCATGGCATGATTAAGCCCAAAAGTTCCGAAAGTACTTTTTCCTTTCTTAATCTTCACACCTAGCCAAACAATTCCACATAAAATGAATCGGATGGAGTGCATAGTAAGTTATCTAACCAAGGAAGGCAAATAGAAGCTATAGAAGTCCCTAAAAGTGCTACTTGCCTAAAATTATCAATCCTCAATCTGAGAAATATTCTAGTTAGACTTGTATACTAAATCATACAACAATTTGCATCTCACTACCGATTAATGCGAGTTAAAATCCATATTCCAGCCAAAATTTACAGTTTACACGAATGCATATAAACAAAGTCGCGCCAAACCCAAACAAAAAATAATTACTTTTTTTATAACCATGGTGTTGGAACAGCTTGTGCACACCTCAACTAATTCAACAAAACAACCTCCCACCAGCCCAGCAAAACAAATACCACGTATACTACGTAAACTCTGTCCACCAAGGCTAAGACAGACACGAAGAAATCACCTAGTCCCCCTACTATTTTGCCTCCACTAGAAATTTCCATACCTTGGATGCAAAAAATTAATTCATATAAAACATGCAACCACATCATATACAGAACTTCAACAATTTGACACAAATGAACAAAAAAATCATCTCTAACCTCCAAAAATACAATGTTAATACGTTAGAACACCAAAAACTAGTTCAATTAGTTTGTTCAACATAACTGATGTTCCCAATACCACCACTACCACCACCAACAACAAAATCAAACATAAATAGCTAAAAATCAACAGTGTATAACTAAAGCACAAATACGAATTCCAATTTTCAGAGAAAAAAACGCACCTCGAGTACTTGCTAACTTCTAACTTGCAGGAAGGAGGCAACAGAGCTTGAAGAAAAAATTCTAGAACTATCTGAGTGAATTCGGAACCCTATATTTTGCTGAGCATAAGATTTTGATAATTACGATAATTAATTAGATTAATCGGTTGCTAAAGGAGAGTAATGATATTTTTCTTATTTTAATTACGAAGAAAATATGGAGCGAATAATCGTGTGTGGACAGGTGTCCTTTTTGACAAATGGGCCCCCATTGATCATTTTAAACTTGGACGGCCCATAGCAGACTTCAGGTTGGGCCTGCAAAAAATTGCATGAATTAGCCATAAATGGTTTGGTCTTTAACTTTTGACCACTTGGCTAGGTTTTGCATTGGTACTTTAGAGATCATTTTAAATGTTGATACTAAGCTTTATTTATCCTTGTTATTTTAAAATTGATGATTGTTTAATAGTTAATACTATAAAATGATGGCTACAATTAGCCATAAAATGGTTTGGTCTTTAACGTTTGACCAATTTTATTTTAACGTTTTGCATTTTGTTCCTTTAGCAACTGAAATTACGCTCGATGGCTAGTTTTTGCATGGGTGCTTTAGAGAGCATTTTAAATATTGAGATTAAGTTTTATTTATCCTTGTTATAATTTGACATTGTTGATTGTTTGATACTGTGTTTTGTTTTATTTATTATTGTTGCAAAACATAAATGTACGAAAAAGCAAACTATGCATTAACAAGAATAGATGTATATTTATTTATTTTTGGTTGAACAGACAAAGTAGAGATTACATGGAATGTAGAGAGAGATCGGAATGTATAAGAATGTAGTTTACATGGATGAGGAAGAGGTCGGAATCCTTTTTCCATTAGATCCCTAAAAAATGGAGCTAGTTATATTTTAGAGAGAGATCTAGATGTCTTTCCCTCTTCCGAGAAGGCTCATTTATAGGTCAAAAGGTCTATGTCACAATGTAAAAAGACCATATACTAGTTCTAAAAATACTACCTAATAGCACATGCTTGAGTTTTGTCATTGGGCTCAAGGCAGATTAAGGACAAAGTCAATGCTAGACTTGAGGCTAATTATTGATGTGTTGGAAGGTCATTAATCATGCGGGTGATATATTTGTAACACGATTAAGTTTCAAGAAGATATCTTGTTGCTTGCCCGATTACAAAGTAACCTTGCTTGAATCAAGTTCATATGGATCTTGATCATGCATATGTGCTATTTTCGAGATTTTCTTAGAGCTAAGGTAGGAAGGTCCAACATCTTTTCAATTTTGAGTTAATCTTGCATGCCAGTTTCATTTACCTGTTTGTCAGTCGCAATTTAATTTTACCCCATAAATGAATATCATGAAAAAATTTACGTGTTCAAAAGATATCTTTATAATATGATCTAAAGGATCTACAATATGTGTTATAAGACAAGTTAACAAACAATATTTACTAATTTAAATAGCCATCCCAACATACACAAACTAAGGAAAATTAACCTAATTAGTCGTTCATTCAATCACTTACATATAATTAGTGTATGATTTACTTATAATAACTCAAAAATAAAATAAATTCTAGTGATTTCGACAGGCTATTTATCTAAAGATGTCGAAAATTTGTTGTAACACATTTATGCAGCAGCATTAGTTGGGCCGTGGCCCATACTCCTCCAGCAACCCGAGGCCCCAACGAGCTGAAAAAATTGGCGCACAAACCAAAGAAATTTCCCCAAATTTCATTTGCAAATCCCTCCAAATTCACATTTCAAATATATAACTCAAAAAATTTACCCAAAATCCACCTTTCAATGGCAGATTTCGAACCTCCATCGTTCTCTCTAGGGCTCGATTTCGAACCTCCATCGTTCTCTCTAGGGCTTGATTTCGACCTTGATTCGGAGCCCCAGTCTACTGTTCTACCAAAACCCTCGGTGAGCTTAAGGACAATCAATGAAGTTGATGATGATGATGATGATTTTGAATTTCCGAAATTGGTTACGGATCCGCAAGTTTCGGATCCACCTAGTTCTCTCAAACGCCTTCGTCGCGGGTCCATTTCAAAATCCGAACCGGCGGCTCAAAAGTTGAAGCTAGGAGAGACATGGTGTAATGTGGACGATGATATTGAAGATTTTTCTTCTCAGGAGGATGAGCCTAAGGGTAAAAGACTTCACCTTTTTGTTAGGGTTTTATCTTTAGCTACCTTTCTATGCTTTGGTGTTTTAAATCTGTCAATTTGAGCTGGGCAAAGCATATGAGGCCTTAATTTTTTCTTCTATATACTGGGTTTGACTGATTAAATAATCAATCTATGTTGATTTCTATTTCAGTTAGCTTTCATTATTTTTTATTTATTTTTGTTCTAGTTCTATTGCATATGCTAGTGACACAGTTTCAGAGGTTGATTTTTGGATAGCCTATTAGTAGCTGAAAACAGTGGCAAACGGGGATTTTCATTAAGTGGTTCAAAACATGAAGAAGTAAACACACCAAGAAATCGAAGGTGGTTCAACACCTATTATATATACATAAAAAATAATTCTAACCATGTATAAACGGTATGTGGTTTGGATAACCCATTGACCATTACTAGCTCTGTCCCTGTCCGAAAAGCTCTTATTTTCATTTATTGAGACTTGTAAGTATGTCTATATTGAATATCATATAGTAAGTTGTGTATCTCCTGAATAAAATTTAATGCTGAAGCTTAATTAGGTATCTGCAAGTTAGGAAGGAGTTTGGGAGATTGATGGAAATGAATGAAGGGAAGACTCTTGTGTTTCCACAATCTGCTATTTTGAAAACAAGATCTCATATAAGCTTGCTTTAGAAATCAAAACTTACATGAGAAGTTCTGGTAAGAACTGATTTAGAATCCAAATTCAGTGGCCTATATGTGCAACAACATGATAATTGATGAGATAAGTCAATATCACTCTGAGCAAAGTAATTCCAAAAGATCTGTGTTCTCTCATAATTAATGTGGGCTTAGAATAGAACGTAATAAAAGTAACCATATTAAGTAACAAATTAGTTTGATTAAGTATCAATTGGTGTTACACATACAATAGGCTTTGTTTTAGGTGTCTCTTAGTTGATTTAGAGATTGTCTAATGACTGAGGGATAGGTGTGCAATTTTTTCTTTAACAGTGGCATTTGAATCAATTAATGTGCACTTAGTCTATTCCATTGGATACTTGCATCCCAGACAGAGAGTAGGATGGTTGACCTTGTCTGCCAAAAATGATGCATCATGAAGAAATCACCTAATTTTTTTCTCTACTGGGTTCAAATTTTAATCCCTAACAATCTTCATTCCAACCTTGTTAACCACCGATCATACCCTTGGGTGTTAAACAAGTGTGAGATTTAGGGAACCTTGGATTTGTTTAAGACTATTTAGAATTGGAATGAAATGAGTCCTAGTATGCAAAATGGATATAGAAGATTCTCATAGCTGACCCACTTGTTATCATTCTTGTAAAAAAAATTACATAGAAGACCTAACTAGCTTTGCAATTTAGTTATTGCACAGGGAAAATATGTGGTCAATCTTGCCTTATACTATGGTCTATGTACTAGAAGCAACATGTGTGTTTGTTTGATGAACATTCTGTTGTGATGTACATCTTAAATTTCCTACTTGATGTGTGCTCAAGAAATATGGACCATCATTATTAGCTTTTTACTAGGGAGTTTTACTTATGTTTCAGTAAAACTATGTAGTCAGCGAGATCACTATGTCTAGTCGGACAAGTCAGATCTGGGGGAACCTCAAGGTTTTACACATTCTCTCATTGTGTTTTTAATTTGGTGATACTTCCCTACACTTTTATCTCCCATCTTTCTTTTAGACCAACAAATCAGACCACAGATAAATGTTATTGTTGTTTGTTATTTTTTTTTATTTTTTTTTTATAACCCTCATGCATTTTAATATTGTTTGCATCAGATCATCCAAAATATCACAGTTCCGTGTGTAGCAGTTCAAAAATCTCGTTACAGGGGCAAAGGGTATTATCCTCGCAATCTGTAAGCAGATGTACAGGAAGGAAGAAAGAGGCTTCAAATGTTTCTTCCATTCACCAGAGTATGGAAACTAACCCTAGTAATTTGGTCTTCCCAGAGCTAACTATTAGTCCATTGAGAAGGTTCCAGTTGATTGACTCTGATTCTGATGAGCCTTCCAAAAGTGAATTTGTGGAAAGAGAATCAGATCATGTGGATTCTCCTTTGAGCGGTAATCGACAGCATAGTAATGCAGATTTAAGTTGCCAGAGAAAAACAGGACCTTCTACTGGAACGTTAAAGACTAAAGATCTGTGGGAGGACTTCTGTTCAGATACGGCTTTTAATTTTCATACACCTGCTCTTGATGAGGTTTGTGTGGAATATTTCAAATCGGTAAAAGATGGAAAAAGAACTCAGACTACTAAGAGTGGTTTAACTGAAAGTAACATGCAACCTCAGGGCCCTCTTCTCCCTGCTCACTGCTACTTTTTCCATAAAGATCCAAGAATCCAAAAGCTAGTTCGTGATCGTTTGCCTAACTTTTTTCCCTTGGGTGCTTACAATATTCCTGGAGAAAACCAAGATGATGCATCAGTTATAGATTACATGTAATAGATTTGCTTCTTGCTTCTCTGTTAGTCTTTTTTTTCATGAATTATATGATTTATTCCAAAGGTCTATGTGCATGTTGTCTTCAGGGGTCAATTTTGTCATGAAGGAGGCTCTAAAAGGACTGCTCAGAAATCTGCTGATGCAACAAACTCTAGAAAGAGCAGAAAGAATGTGAAACAACCAAATAACGTGGAAGATTCACAAGGATCCGAGAGATGGGTGAACCCTAAGAGCTCTGCTGCTATTCCAAAAGATGCTGGCAGGAGAAGGGTGCAGGCAGTTGGCAAATCTGCAGGTCATTGGTACACAAATGGAGATGGAAGGAAAGTAAGTGGATATTCAGTCTTAGTATTTGGAATTTTGGAGCGTCATTGATGTACTTGTTGAAGTTCTTTTGGTTAAATAGTTGTTGGTGTTCTTAACAAATTCAAGAACTGTACTATAGATGCTGGTTGCTGCTGAAATTTGGTTAAAGTTTGTACTAGTTAGTTTGGCATACTTGATGCCTCTAAACCATAGTTGGGATATGGATGTCAGTGGGTAAATGACTAAAGTCATTCCATTCCTTCGTAACTTGGGTACTCTTTTAGACATTTGTGTTCAGTCCGTATAGCTTCATGGAATCTCCTTGTTCTTTTAGAATTGATTCATGACATCCTATCTTCTGTACATTAATCAAAGAGTTGATCTACTGTTTTTTTATCAGGTTTATGTTGCCAACAATGGACAGGAGTTTTCTGGCCAAAGTGCATATAGATGTTACAGAAAGGTACAATTTTTCTATTTTCTTCATTGCTTTAGTCAATAATGGACGTGTACACTTGAACTCATTGTTCTCTTTTTGTCTTTCTTCAATGCTATATCAGTAACGAATGATTGGATGTGTACACTTAACAGTTAACTCTTAGTTCTCTTTCTGCCTCGATATATTGTAATTGATAAAGTTTTGATACTTCTGAATATATACACAGTCATCTAATGAATGCATATCCTGTATTTTCGCCCTTTTACAGGAGAGTGGAGGGCATAATAAATCAACAAAGAAGACTGCTGGTCGCAAAAGGAAGGCAGCTTCAAAGAAGAAATAGAACCTCTGTAGAAACGAATATGTGCTGTGTACTTGCCATGCTCATGTTAATATGTTCTGGAAAAGAAGTTTTGTATCAACCAAGTATTGTATACTAGTAATTTGGTTTTCTATGATGAACAAATAATAGAAAAAAACTCTATTCTTGATGTTTGTATCAACCTCTGCTCTATTCTGTACTACGTTGGAAGTATAACGAGGATGTAAATAACAATGTTTGTACTTGGGAGGACTAATCAATGGTGGAGCTTGGTCGAAAATCTGGCAGGGTAGTTAGAATTCTGCTAGGAAGCTAGCTGCCGGACTATGGAAGCTTCAGTTGCCGGAAGTTCCTAATATTCCAGCTCAAAAGTTACCTCACACAGTTCATTTAAGAAAAGACAATTGACTATTATGAAGATGGAAAAACAGCTATGGTACTGAGGGCAGGGTGGCTAGTAAAACATATGGAAAAAAAAAAATTAATAGTGATTTTTATGATTTTAATTTCATTTGAAATAATATTGAATATAATAAAAAAAATGAAAAAAGAGTTTTTTTATCAAAAATATTTTAGAACTTTAAATTAAACAATTTAAATTTCATATTAATAAATAAAGTTTTTATATTAGCATCCAACTTGAAAATTGCAAATAAATGTCTGACACTAGATCTAATACTTACTTTTATAAATAGTAGTATTATTATGTGAAGGTAAACACTAAATAGAATTGTTGTGAAAAATATCTTTATAGCAAATAGAGGGATTTGGGTTTTCAGCTCAGGCTAATGAAGTTGAAAAAAGAAAAGAAATTAGACTTTTAAAAAGTAAACGGATCTAAATTGTAAAATTACTACAAAAGTAACTAATGAAGTTGAAAAGAGAAAACAAATTAGACTTTTAAAAAGTAAACGGATCTAAATTGTAAAATTACTAAAAAAGTAACTAGTTGAATTTGAAAAGAAATAACCAAGAAGAGAATAAAGAAATGAATAACAATTAAATCTTTTTAGAGACTACATTTCTTGTCTCAAATACACCATAGATATCTTGGGAAAGTTTTATTTTCACGTTGTGAAAACTCTTTAGCGACCATCAACAACTGGTTCTAGTAATTAATCTTTAGCGACCATTAAAGACTTGATCTAATAATAGCTTTAAAGATGAGCATCATTTCTAGTCCTAGATTGTCTATTAGAAAAGAGCAACATGTTTGGTCATAGATTAACCTGACTAGCAATACTTCTGGTCTTAGATTAACCATCAATATCTCAAATATCAAATTGCTACTTAAAATCTCGATTCAAAACGATGATAGATATAGAGACGAAACAAACACAAGAAGGTAGAGATAAAGAGTGTGACTTATTAATTGTTTCACATCCCATGCTATAGTATAAGAAAATGGATATTTAAGGACCAAAATATAGAGACGAGTTAATAAACTAAGCCTTGAAAGTATACAATAAGGACAAGTTTTCTGATGGGTCTTTAGTTCTTAATTAATTAGCGAAGGGTACAAATTCCCCTCCCTAAATAATAGATATCTGGTCCTAAATATCAACAACATATTTTCTCCTCTCTCAAAACCTACTCTACAAGCTTATCCTTCTCTATACCACTTAAAAACTACACTTATGAATGAGATTTGTAGGTATTCTATTTTAGACAGAGTGTGCATCAATCAGTTCGATTTGATTTATGTATAATCGGTTCAATTTATCGATTTTTAATTATTAAATATATTAAATTAATATTTTTAATTGTTAATGGTTCGATTTTTTATTTATCCACTAAAAAAATATTCATAAAATAAATAGACAGATTGTTTATCTACTCAGTATAGTTAGATCTTGTTCTTTTTTTATTTTATATAATTGATGGAAAAGGGTTAGAATGGGAATATGCACACAATAAGCCAAAAATGAGTGCACGTGCTTATTCCCTCGGATACCCTGAGAACTAATACACAATCAATATTTGCAAGTGCACTCACTTTCACCGACCTTAATGCCTTGATTACTTCTCTTTTTAATTTATGCGATATTATTTAATTTCATATAATTTAAAAATAATAATAATAATTTTAAAATTTGTAAGTTAAAACAAATTTTAAATATTTATATAGTTATAAATTATTAAATTAGGGATAAGTAAAATAATTTTTTTTTAAAAAAAATAATTCACTATCTTCGAGTTAAGGCTCAAAAACATTCTTATTTTTTCACATGAAGTATTAATAGCCTCTCATATTTTCTATATTGATTTATTTTTTATTTTCTCCCAAACTTCTGTTTATAGTTTGACGTTTGTTTTATTCACTATTTAGTATATGTAATGTTCAGTTATCTTCCTCTATGTTTAATATAATCGATAATTTCATATAAGAAAAAGTGAGAAAAAGAGTATTCCTTATTTAGTACACCCCAAAAATATCATTATACTTATAAATAAATAAATCAAGAATTATCTTTTTATAAATGCGTCCTAACAAATCATATGCAATTGCGGTGAAATTGCAATATTACCTAATAGTATTAACTTGTTTCCAAGAAGAGAAATATGCTATTTTAGATAGAGAAAAAAAAAAGTGTCACATTTATTTAAGTAAAATTACTTTAATAGTTGGATAAGAGACTAGTCAATACTTATCTTTTACAAAATTATGCAAATCTCACTTTAAAAAAATAAAATAAAAATCCATGTAATGTTCAATATTTTCATAGAGGCCTAATTAATTTGAATTGACATCATATAAGACCTAAAAGGAAACTAGAAAAGAATTTTCTATTAATGTTTTTTTCCTTTATAAATTAAGCTCAAATTCTAGATTCTAATTAATAGCGAGAAATTATATTCATTTAATCATAACTCTCGATAGTTAGCAGAATTTGCTAGAAGATAATTTTATTCAATGAAATAAGTGTTTGTTATCTGATATTTTATGCCTGATAGACTTTCTTTCTACGTTATTGGCAATATTTCTTTTATATTAATTAATGTGTCATACATTTCTTTTTAGTATGATTAAAAAAAATTACATCATATATTTAAAAATAAATCAATTTTTAAATTTGCACCCTTAAAGATATATTTATAATTATATAAAAATCTATGAATTGTTTTAAACCATACGTTGCAGCACAATCAAATGATACTATAATTATCAAAACGGAGTAAGTATATGATAATTTTAACTTTTTTAACTTAATATTAATTTAGCTAAAACTCAAGCAAGATATACATTCACCAAATTAGAGTCATCTCATTATTTTATTTTATTAATTAATTAATTAGCATAAAATAGAAAAAGAAAATTGCAGGACAAAGTCATTACAACGCTCCCTCTAGGAGAGGTACGTGGGACCCATATGCCTAACGGCAGCCTGCCACTCCTATTTAACTATTTTTAACTGCTCCTTCTATAGTTAACAATCAAACTACGTCGTTTGGATGCAAAACTTTACAATACGACATCGTAATAGTATACTCCTAATCCTATCTCGAGACAAATTCAGGATTTAAATATGTAATAACTAAGTTCACGGGTAAATAATTATAGATATAATAAACAACAACAACATAATCTTATGAAATTCAACAAATAGAGTCTGAGAAGGCAGAGCGTACACAAACTTTATCTCTATTTCTTAAAGGTAAAACGACTGTTTGATGATCGAATATTTCAGAGGTATCGTGTCTAGTGAACCAATAGGTTTTCTTTAAAGCTTCACCTCTCATTTTATCAAATTTTTAGTTTCTTATCCGGCCATCGTATTCAAATTCAGATTCAAGTAAATTTAAATTTACTTCACAGACAATGATTCAATTGATGGTGAAGAAAGAAAATTCTTGATTCAGTCCTCCACCTTAATAATAGAAAATAAGATTGAATTTATCTATTAAGATAAAACTTTTTTTTTAAACACGATTTTATTTCTTAATAAAAAATCAAAGAGTACTTATGATTTCATCACGATAGCGCGATGTACTCTTAATGACAATAGAAGATTTTTGGTATAAATGAGAGACGTTGACCGTACAAATCATCTTTACTTATACAGAGATATACGTATAAATCTCCTCTCTCTCACACACATATATACACAGAAAACACTCTGCATTTCTCTCTTCTTTCTCCTAAAAAACCAAAAGAGATCACAGACACCCCCACCCCACCCCCTCCGCCGTACCCCCCATCCCTATCCCCCTACTCCCTTGTACCAGCTCTGAAAGTCTCGGTGAAGCAATAAGCCAAAAAAACTGAGTAATGGCTGAATCTGTGCATCAAAGATGAAGGTCACTGCAAACAATAGAGCTGAGCTTCCAGCAATTGCATCATACAAACTAGTGAACCCTTTACCCGATTCAGATCTTTTACAAAACCCCTTTTGCTCTAGGAAACCGCCTCGCCGGAAAATCAAGAACTCCGGTGGCGCCGGAGTGAGGTTACGGAGAGATATTCCCGGTGGGAAAAGGAGCAGACCTAATACCCCTTTACTACGATGGAAGTATAACGAGGATGTAAATGACAATGCTTGTACTTGGGAGGACAAATTGACGGTGGAGCTTGGTCGGAAATCTGGCCGGAAAGTTAGAAATTTGGTTTCTGCTAGGAAGTTAGCTGCCGGACTATGGAGGCTTCAGTTGCCGGAAGTTCCTAATATTCCAGCTCAAAAGTTACCTCAGGTAGCTCATTTAAGAAAAAAGATTTCAGCTTTAGGGTTTTTCTAATTTTGGTCATTTATATATTGATTGTAATTAATTGCTTTAATTACATTGACTTAGCATTTGCTTGAATGAGTCGATGGGGGTCTATCGGAAACAACCTCTTTGTATGAGTTAGGGGTAATGTTTGCGTACACTCTACCCTGTCCAGACCAGACCGTACTTTGTGGGACTAGACTTGCTATGTTGTTGTTATAATTAACAATTATGAATGTATGATTTATTAGGATTGAAGTTGAGATTGTTTTCTCTGGTACCTTTGGTATAATTGTGATTTATGATTGCCTTCATTACTGCTTGCTTTATGTTTTATTTTTATTTTTATTTTCATCTGTTGGTAGTTTTATTAGTCCCTGCTGTTTTAGGATCATAATCATCTCCAAGTTTGTATTTTTATGACCTTAGAGTGAACGGCGACTTTGATAAGTGTTTTATCATTCTAGACCTGATTGCTCGGACTGTTAAAAAATGTTGTTGGGGGTGTGTCAGATCCTCCAAAAGTAGTACATTTTTGTTGGATCCAACATGGTTATGGTAGCTTTAAGCAACTT